CCCATAATTTTCTCAGAATTCGTCGGCCTCTACTGCGAGGTCATCCATCCGTCAGTGTAAAACTACTGGAGGTAGGCGGGAGGTGAAATTAGTGTCATGTCTGTCTCTCAGTGGATTTAGCGCGGTCTTGATGGAGACTAGATTTCAACCCGTTGTGCTCGAAGAGATACTAGACGATTGCAGCTTCAGAGCAAAAGTAGAAATCGTATTTGGAATGCGTCATTTCCTACAGTTTGAAGAAAGCGAGTCTACCACGGATGCTTTAACCATACTCACTTGTTCGTTTATTCCACAAAATGATCAACATTGCCTGACGAGGAGATACGGTTCTAAAGAGGTAAGCTTTGAACTCCATGTGGCCATTTTTCAAGTCCGCTCTAGCGAGCGCCTTTGTCTTAGCCGCGAATTCCCTTGAGCAAAGAATGGACGGAATATTGCTTCAATGCAACCAGTAGAGAATCTTGTAGTAAGTCGTTGGCTAACGAATAATAGGGACTGCATAGTATTCTGTCTGTGGTCTCATTATCCCGAATGGATGAGGGATACGGCCCTATGGGACGGCTCCTTGTGGTTGCACCTCATTTTCATAATCCATCTGATGGTTGACTACTCAGTGTAATAATCAACACAAGTATAAACCCAATTTCACGCTTTCCCGAGGAATATAGTAATATTTTATCACCGTTGTTTCGTTTGTAGTACTTTCGAGGGATCGTCGAGTTTTGTCCATGCGACAACATCTTCTTTGATTTTCTTCTCCTCGGTGATGTAGATGTCGACGAGCGCGTCTGACAACAGATTTCGGGTTTTGTGGCTAATCACGAAAATGTTGATGGTGTATTATTGTTGTCTGCTAGTCTTGTGCTGATCATCATCTGATCGGAAGTAATCCCAGTTTTAGCCAAGACGACGCAATTGCCTGCCCTCACGGCCCCGGTATTCTTCGATGCGTGACGTATTTTTTGTCGAGTTTGGTAGGCAGTTAATCCGAGGTGCGGACCTGCGTGAGCTCTGATCGTCATCCTCCATATCCTTCAACTAGCCCATCGAAATTCACATGCCAGGCGCTTAACGTGCTCTTAGTCGCGGTAGGGTTCACTAGCCGATATCTTGCCTCACTGTCTCACCTCACAGAATAGTTCCCTCTTCCTCACATCCAGAGGTTAACCATGCAGATGGTCAATAAGCAACTCAGTTTCACAGCTGAGGATGAGCGATAATCTAGTTGTTATAATTGGCTTGAGCTCTTCGAACATTGAGAACATTTTCAGTAGTAACGTCACAGATCAACGGTATCAAACGTATATGTGGACGGTCGTGATAGTGCTCAGCTGTAGCTTTAATACCGTTGACGTTTGCTGCCATCTCATTGAATCCTATCGACCATTTGATCAGCCTGTGCGGTCCGATGGTATACTACAGTGTTTTTCAGCGTCGCATATCGTTGCATCGGCATTGTTGCAGACTTTGCATCTGCTTAGACAACTGGATGATGCTATGTTTGTTATATGGCTGTTGTAACGTGCGCTTTTTGCTTGACTTTGTTGTTGATTGTATTACAAATGCCTCCTGCGGTCCTGACTTAGGACTGCAATCATCTCTTTCACCCTCA